GCATAAAATGTGCAATTCATCTGGTTTAGCCTAAAGAATTAGTAATCTACTTCATTTGTTCAAATGAAAATTGTATACACTTTGAATCTGTATGTTTTAATCAACTCCATGAGGCCCAGATTATTGATTTTGGTTTGGAAGTGCATCATTTTAAAGATTAAAGTTGCTGAACAGCTTTAAAATGGAGAACTTCGTAAGTGCTTGCTGAACTAAATACGATTATTTTCAAACGGCACAAATCAAGGAAACTCTCAAATTGTGGAAGACTGTTGCAAAGAAGATTGCTTTGAGCACGAAGTCAGGAAAAAATGCTTGTTTTAGCTACTTCACTGTATGCTTTAACTGGAAAAATTCACACCAAGATGCCTTTAGTCTCTTCAGTACTGAGGAAGTTAATAGATTGATTGATAATATCATATAGCTGCTACCATTTGCAGTGTATGCAATATATTATGTTCTCAAATGAACCAAAATAACAACGAACGCTATTTATTAAATAAAGAGCTTAGCTCATTCTGTTTGTGCAGAACCTCTGATAGATAAAAAGGCAAAGTGCTGTAACCCAATTCTCCTCCTAATCAGCCTCCTTGCTACATGCCTCCTTCTAGATTACATGCAAGTTTTCCAGAGCTGAACCCCTTGGCTAGGCCCATTCTAGTTACCTGCATTTTCTATACAGATGATCCCATTGTTTCCGGTGAAGATTAGGGAACTTTATGAACTATGATGCCTCATGAGAAATGTTTTGCCAGTATTTTCTCTGAGCACTTTTATTGCTTCTATTCTTTTAAAAAGACTTTTAAAACATGGCAGGGAGCTGTGAAAAGGGAGTTGGGTTATTCCTGTGAAAAGTCACCCAAAATTTGACAAAAGAGTAAAGCTTAAAATAAATGTTCATGAGGGACCTGGGTGAAATTATTCACCGGAATACTATTACAAACTTTGCTATAATTTCTTCTTCAGTTCAGTAATACCTTTAGTGTATATCAATCTGGTATATTCCTTAGACCCAAACTCAATTTTTATTTTTATTTTTTTAAATCTAGTTCAGCTGTTAACTCCAAACATTGACCTCTTTCTTCACACCCATAATTAAATATCTAGATTTTTAGAGCACCCAACGGCTGCCTGTTATTACAAGGAAATTAAAATCACTCTTCAGCAAGACAACTATGAGGTAAATATTCATGTGTTATTACATTGTCATTTAGAATAAGAAGTTATCCCACCAGAAGTAAAACTTCCAAACAACTGAGTGAATTAAAATACAGCCACTAAACTTTTGAAATTACAGGATATCTAGTTCCTATTCATCCGTTTCTGGCTGTCATTTCCTAGTAAAAGCTGTACTGAGTGATATTTGTGCAGTCTGCATGGGACCATGAAATCAAAGCTTAGTGCATCGTACATCAGGTGTGATGCTTTCACATAAATATATTTCTTCCACTGAAGCACATCTTCATAGATCTTTCAACCATGGAGTATGTTCCAGATGGAGTGGAGGTTTCCAAGATAAGGCAATAACTTTTCTGGTTAATAATAAAGTACTATGTAGATGAAAGGTGTTCCCCCTCCCCCCTCCAGCCTTCCACATATGATTCATTACTCTCTTGCAAGCGAAGCTATCATACTTATGACCCCAAAACAATGATATTTCATAAAGTGTGACACTCATGACGTTAGCAATCTTTACTTTTTCTGCCCTTGAAGACTGTTATTTTTTCTACATTTATGGTATGGTTATTTTTTATTATAATTATTAATTTTTAAAGTAAACCAATATTATGAAAGTAAATTTCTGTTGATTTTTACAACATATAATTATTTTCAATTTTCTATTATTTTCAAATCAAAATTTCATTGTTTTCCACAAGGAGTATAACACCATATTCCTAAAAAAACAGGCAAAATAGATTCCTTCATGCCTTTTTTATTTTACCTGGAGTTTTCTAACTTAGATTGTCATTATAAAACTAAACAAATTAAAACAACAAGAAAAAAAAATCAATTTTCTTTATATGATAACTTGTAAGAATTTGGCCAATCAGATCGCATAATTTATAATTCCAGTTTAAATGTTATTGTCTTTCTCTGTTACTAAGTTACACAGCCACACAAATAAGTAATTATTCAACTACAAGCAAGACTCAAACAATATCTTGGGTTCTGAGTAGTGATCCCCAGAATATAACTGATAGAGTTGATTTTTTAAAAGACGAATTAGTTAGATGTTCTCAGTTTTCAGGTACCAAAAGGAAAATTGGTTTGGACACCATCAGAGATACGGGTTGGACACCTAAAAGAATGGGAATGAATCCACTACTTCATCTTCCTTTCCAAGGAATATACACATATTCCAAGTACATGCATCTAGCAAAAGGGAATGTTAACACAACAGTGTTGATTCTTTCTGGAGACAAGGGCCAGCTGTGTCCACAAAAGAAAGGCTGCCTACTTTTTTGTTCCAGCTCCAGAGTGTTTGAGTCCACATACTTTACTTCTATAAGATAATTCACTGGCCTCAGTGACACCTGCTGACTGTCTTTTGATATGAACAACAAGTATTCCAAAAGCTGCATTCAATCGTTTTCCTGAAGTTGTTCTGGATCTCATTTGGATGTAGATATGTTTCTTCCAGTGGGTGTGTGACTCAGGTTCTTCACATACAGTTTGGTCCTGCTGGACAATGTCTATTACGAACTTTACCATGGGAGCTGAAACACAGGGATTTTGAGATTTTCCTGGTTTTGCTTTCCATGTTTTAGGACACTCTTTTCTTCAAAATTAATGCATGCATTACTATAATTTCAAAATTAATTACAATATTTTCACCCTGTCTAATTTTAAACTGGACTGAGTCTTCGAAAATATATCAAAGTAATGAAAATTCAGTTTGGTTCTCCATTTATATATTTAACATTAGTAACAGAGGTACATATTTTATATTAAATGTTGGCTTAATACAGCCAACAATATTTAATATTAATTATTAACTAATATCATAATTTTCACTACTATTATAGATAAGGGTAAAATCTACTCTAAGATTCATGCAGCAGTCTTCATTTAAATGTGTTCACCTTCTCACATGGCTCAGTAAGTATATGAGAAGATGCTACTGTGCTCACTGTCTCTAAAATTATAGAATGTCCAGAGATAGATATCTAGCGTTTGTCATAGTGAGTGCAAATGCACTTTTACAAAGCTCTAGTCAACCATAGATTATTAATACAGATTTGAATTGTTTTGATGAACTAATAATGAGACTTCTGGATGAATTGGAACTAAACTGTTATTCTGTGGTGGGTTGCTAAATAACAAAAGAGTTTAGCTGAACTTGTATCTACAAGCAAGTGAAATCATATCACCTTTGGCCTGGAGCAGTGACTTCAAAGCTGAATCATCGATACAGTATTCCAATTAGTTCTCTTTTTATGTAAGTGGGTAATCTTTTTAACACCAAGATAAGCTTGGACTCTCTTAGTTTCATGCCCATTGTCATCACTGCTAACAGTTGCAATCTGTTCTTGCAGAAAACAGTTCTGGAAGCTATAAGTGCTTTTACGGATCTTAATAAACAGTGTTACTGCACATTTGCAGAACACTTTTACATATGTTTAGTGTCAAACTAGCCTACTAAACCAAAATATTTTGAAAAGATTTAAGGCTTGAGAATTGTAGTGCCATTGGGAAATACTTACGAAAGCACACCTGATGCAATATTCCCTTTTAAAAGGCAATAGTGACTTTCCCAACATACCATTTGAATTTTTATTTTACTGTAAACTTGAAAGTGGCTTTGGAAGGACAAGTAATAAATGCCACATGGCTATTTGATATTCCTGAACATAGAGGTGAATGCAAGTAGATCTATAAAATCAAAGAATGCTAGCAAACTAAACGCTGCTAAGCTCACTTTTTTCACTGATAAATTAATTCCTCATAGATGTTATAAAGGAAAATAAATTTCAGCATATATAATTTAAGAACTTTATGCTATAATCTTGCTGTTCTAATAATCTTTTTTTGGATGCACTGCAAGGCTTAAAGTTGACATTTTCAAAAATTTATTTTTTGTGATGTTCAAAGTAAGTGTCACATACAAAGTGGGCCCTTAAAAGCTTAGCTAAAGGAAAACTCCCCATTATTTTAGCTACATTAGGCCCAGTATTAACATATATCAAAACGAAAGGAAGACGTCTATAGGCATTTTAGTCTGAGAGCAGTTAAACTTGCTTCCAAAAGCTATGCTCAGAGTCCAAACTTGCATGTTTAAAATGATATAGTGTTTGTTATAAAACGCCACAGAAGCATGGGTTGACCCTTGGTATTACAGCTTTAGCACTTAGGGCTAGATTAGAGATATAATTAGGACACTTCAACCAAAGAAGAAATTGATAGTCATGGCACACATCATCAGAAAACAGTTTTCCACTCACCCTCAGTTCACCCTGAACTGCCATCTTATTCTGCTGCTCAACCCCTTTCTCCCAATGGAAGATTTCCTCTTCAGTTGCTGTGCACAGAGACAAAGACATGCATGTCTTTTTCTGTCATCTGTCTGGCTCTGTCCTCTTCCTTCCCACTCACAAGAGGGGAGACACAAAATAAGGCCATGCTCTTGTTTTCCTTCCGTGTGCACTCTGAACTTATCAGAGCCCACTAGTAAGATAATCTTTGTTTGTGAAATGGTATTACTGAACCCAGTGACCAGTCAATGGTTGTCTCTAGTATCTTCAGACTCTGAAAACAATAGAAAATCAGACAGATTTTCTAATAATCAGACACTTATATCCTACTTTCAGAACGGATTTTTGCCTTACACATTAAATACTTGTTAGCTGAATAAGAATGTCGCTTGACTCCCTTGCTGCATAATATAGTTTTTATTATGTATTATGATATCAACTTTCTAGCTCTACCAAAGAATTGCATTTAAGAAAAATACAGAAAAATTGCATTTAAGAAAAAAAAAAATCCATTTATTAAACTGTGGGGTTTACATCACAATAAGTCAGAAAAAAATAATAATGCTAATAATAAAAAAAAAAAGGAATTAACTAACAGTATGGTTGCGCTGCAAGGGAAAAACAATCTGTAGCAAGACATCAAATCAGTTTGAGGAAAACAGCTGAACAGCCCATGCCAAAGAATGCTGCTGCTGCATTGTGTTTGCATTTCTGTGATGGGATTTACATAACTCAACATGACATTATATTGGCTAAGACACAAATCTAGTCTTTAATCCAACAAGATGCACAGAGCTTGCTGTGTTGTGGCACCAAGAGCCCCTCTGCCAGGCTTCTGTATCTTACCCGGCCAAATACAATCTTTATCCATTTGATACTTGCTGTATGTTACCCACCGCCTGCATGCCCACAAAGTTACAGTATACAGATATAAAATGCTCTCCTAATAGACCAGCTGTCATTGATACATAAGCACTGAAATGACAATTGCAATTCTGTTTACACAGAGAATGAAAATATATCTTGCCTTTACTAGCTCATCATTGCCTCTCATTCCCCTGTCATTCGCTGACGCTTAATGAGTTTTTGCCAGAATAGTTGGAATCACAACCTGACCATCAAGCATACCACCAAAGATGTACTTTTGCAAAACTGCAATGAAGACTGCAATTCCAAATCTATGGTGTAGACAGAGTTCTGGTTCATTAGGTTGTATAAGTATTTTGAAAGTAAATACCTACTTGATGCCTACCTTGGCTCAATTTTTGCCTTAAACTTAAATTCTCTGTTGCAATTCTTGGTTGATTCTTTGCCAAAACCAAAACTTGCATCTCCCTGTGGAAAGGAAGATCACGTATTTGTTTCTGAGTTTATGCGTGGTACAAATAACAGTATCAATAATACCATTAGGCTGGTCAGAGTCAGTTTACAACCAACACAAGAGCAAAATACAATATTGCTAGTCTAGTATTTAATCCTGAAACAGTGTTTGTATTCAAATTTTGCTTTTTATAGACACAAATCTCAGGTAAAATGACAACATTATATAAATGTTTCCTATGACTAAGAAATACTTATGTCCACAAAGAAGACAAGCTAACTTGACTTAAAACATTTAAAAGCAAATCTTTCTCAGTTTTCCCATTGGAGGATCTTTAAAATTTATCCCTCGTTTGGTCTGATAAGATTCTCTCTTATCCCTTATCCTCCCACTCTATACACATTGTTGTGATTGTTGATAGTTGTTTTGTTCTTTATAAGACTATTCTCTATATTACCGAAATGACTTGTTTTCCATGCTAAGTGACATTTCTGTTAAATTTGAGTCTTTGTTGTTTTCAGTCCCACAAATTCATTTGAACTTCCTCTTCAATCTTATCTTTTCTGTGTATAGATCATCTTTAGTCTCTGTTTCACATTTACTGTCTGTGATCCTGCTGATTTCACAGAATCACAGAATTTCTATGTTGGAAGAGACCTCAAGATCATCGAGTCCAACCTCTGACCTAACGCTAGCAGTCCCCACTAAACCATATCCCTAAGCTCTACATCTAAACGTCTTTTAAAGACTTCCAGGGATGGTGACCCCACCACTTCCCTGGGCAGCCAGGGAAGTGAGAGACAGTTCTTTTCTTTTAGGAACAATTCCTTCTCTTAGGAACACATCCTCAGTTTCTCAGAGCAGATCCCAGAGTAAGAAAATCCTTTCCTACTTCATACCTTAGTCTTTAAAGTGGGTGTTCTTTTAAGCTTGTACCTGCAATTCCCAGAGCTTAACTGAACTGAAAACTGCAGAGAACAAGGTGGTTGAGACTTCCTTGTCCACTTCCTTGGAGATCATTCCTGTCTGAGAAATTCTCTCAAGAGAATCTTGGTTGGCAATGTCATTTGGGCATCCGGTGGTCCTAGAACAGAGGGGAAAATAGAAAACTGCATTCAGAAAAATAAATAAATAATAATAAAAAAGTATCCAAAAGTCCCTAATATAGTCTATTCTTGCAACTAGCTTGCTCATGTTTTTGAAACTTTTCTGTATAAAGTTCCTACTTAGTCTACTTTGAGGCAAAAAAAAAGCAGGCTGTTGACTAAGCATAATTAGATTCATGCAAAAAATATTGTGCAAGAAATTCATAATTTTCTTGTGCGTTTATGAGTTCAGTTCGTCACAGCTGTGGAAAACCCTTAAAAGCTTCTCTCTGTTATCTGGAAGTTGAGGTCAGACGGAGCGCTCCTAATATCACCTGGATTTAGATTTCCCTAATTAACAGGGCCATTCTAAGTAAAGATCTGTCAAGTAAAGGCACATGCTCTATCAAACGTCAAGTCTGTTGAGCGTTGTACAGAACTGTATGCTTTTTTCATTTTTCGTACTCTTTCAACTGTTTTCTTTGGACAGATCCTTTCTTTTCTGTAGGAATAAAAACGGAGGTACATATTATTAGATTTTACTTCTGTAGTCAAATTCCTCTTCGAAAAGATAATTTAAATGCTCGAGTGGTTGAAAACTCAGGAACATTCAAGAATCTCTATGAAGAAAATGTAACATCCAAACTGGAAGTCTACGAAGGAAAATAGGATTATATTGTTTCAAAGTGCACGAGGTACACTACCAAGCTACAATAAAGAAAATTAAGACAAAACAAAACAAACTCATAAGCTCTTACTAACATCTGTCACAACACAGTATCCCAGTAACTACACCTTCATAGAAGTTTAGCACATCTTCTCTCTAAAACACCATCTGTTCTGATTTATACAACTGCATTTGTAGTTTGTGGGAAAGGGTCTTTTTTAAAGTCAGAGAAATAATTTGTATGTATTAGTTGTGATAACAAAGAACGCACAGTTGAAGTATTGTACTAGTTATAAGCAAAATAATCCTATTGTTTGAAAAGACTCTAAAAATGATTTTGCTCATTGCAATAACTCCTCATTGATGAGTTTCTCAGCAACAAGCTGAGGCAAATCTCACTGACGCTTCCATGAAGTGGAAGTCTAGACTTCTATCACAAATGTTCATAAATGCAAATGTGTTTATATTTCTGTAGATCCAGTTTCTAAATGCTTTGTTAGAAAATTAATTTTATGACAAATCCATAGACAAAGTGACTTCCTTGAAGCACAGCAATCAAAACATAACTTCAGTCTGTAGCCAGTTCTACCTAATACCTGTACCTACCTGTATTTCTCATGAAATGACTGATGACAGGATACAAAACCTAAGAATATAACAGGAAACCTACTAGGTAGCAGGATGTTTCTTGCTCTTTGCTGCCTGTGATTATCATTTTGTCCATACCAAACGTAAAAGTGAAGGTTTTTTTTGTGTGTTTTCAGAGTTGGGATAAATAACTATTTCTAGTAATAGGGAACTCTATAATAATCTAGGGACTCTGCTAGAGTTTAAGATTTTCTGCTGTTTCAGTCAATGTAAGTGTACTACATCATAAGTGCTGTTTTGACTGTCGCACTTGGGGAAAAAAAAAAGGTTTATAGACTTGTTCACTAAAAAAATAAAGATGCAAAGTAGAACTGTTAGCATTTGGAATTATTATGGAATTAGAATTCTCATAAAGAGTATTCTTATTAAAAAAAAAAAAAAAAAAAAAAAAGCTCTTCTTGATGGAAACATTCTTCTGTCCAGGAAAATATTATTTCAAGCCTTTGAACTTGAGGTTATAGTACTTCTAGAAGAAAAGCTTTCAAAGCAATCAGCAAGGACATGGTTAAAGCAAACAGTGCAGAAAGTATGCCACCATTGTCAGTATCTGCCATGATTAATCACTGTGAGCAATAATAATGTTTTTAGCTTAAATATAATGAAAATAATTTTCATTATTTTAAGTCAGTTAGGACTTTTTTTCAACAATGATATTTAGCTGGAAGAAGACTTCTCAGAACGTTTTTCACACATAGAAGTTTTGACAGAAAATTTTCATTGCAAGAATTTCTTAGTAGAATTCCAAATCAAAACAAACAAACAAACAAAAAAATCAGCTTAGAAACAATAAGCTGAAACAAGCTTGGATTGCCAGAGTATTTCACTTGTATTAAACCTTTGCAAGCCATGTATGAAGTCTCAGGCCTCACATATTCTTACAGTCACTACTGAACTTTCACTGTTTGGGGATTTTCTATTTCCGCTATTTTCACAGAAGAATACAAAAGATTTATCTTTCAAGTAAATATTGAATGGAATACGTATCTATATATATGTGTGTGTGTATATATGTAGATACACTTATAGATTACACATACATTTACGAATCTAGTAAAAAGCTCAAACTGGGAAAAATATTTCTGATGTCAATTTTTTTTTTTTAATATAAAAATGCAAGACCAAAATGAAGCTGAATCATATGACAGAAAATAGAAAGCTGATTATGAAAATCAGTATAAAATATTTGCAAAAATGGTTTGATTTATAGTTATCACAAATTGTTAAAGCGCTTGATAGTAATATAAACATCTTTAATCAAAAAAAGCCAAACAATAACCGCAAGAAATCAAGATGCCTTGAGACTTTTCATCAGTAAGAACCAATACTGAAGTAGTTTTTCTATGGGTTAGTAGTCACAACAAACCAAACTTGTGAGCAGCTGCAAGAGAAAATAGCTTATTGATGTTATGCTGAGAAAGAACATGAGTCTTGCAATCTGTGTAGCAACCAAATGCAATAAGAACCGTACATTTGATTTTAGATGAAATATTCATTTAAAATGTTTACAGTTGTAGTACAGCCTTTATCCAATATTTCTTTCATTGCTATAACTTTGTAGAAACAACTTTTGGGCCATGGGTAAGCTTCCAAAATAAAATAAATGATAGAGTAAGAGAGAGAATTTATAATGCATAATAGATGGAAGAACAGGTGCAACAAAGTTTTATATTTTGGACAGATTGTAAAACTGAGATATTTCGATGTGACTGGAATATTAAGTCTGTAACAGAGGTAATGTGAGGAAACAGAACTAAAGCAAACTGTACTGTATTTGATAAGTATTATTGTTCTGACTTGAAATAATAGATAGTAGAAATGTTTTTTGTTTGTTTGTTTTTTGGGGGGGAGGGGGATCTAGAAAAAATATTGGGAATTTTCCCTTGCTTACTATTTTTTATCAGTATTACTCCTGCTTCTTTGCTTGTTGTTAATATTACCAAGTTATATTACCCTGTATTATGAACAATTATACCTCTAAATGCACTGTCATACCCAGTCAATAAATCTTCCTTAGACTTCAGTTAAAGTGCCTGAATGAAAAAGATGTTATCTCATTTATCCCAGCCGAAATCTAAACTCTGGAAATGACTTTGTAATTGATATACAGCTGTTGCAAATCACTAACACTTGAAATCACACCAATTGTCCTTCAGGTCTTTGCCTTCTGGAATACTCCCATTCCTTTTACCTCTTCAAAAACCCTTAAAACAGACATCTAATTTCTGGTGCCTAATTTTTGTTAGGCACTTCATTCTTCACAGATAAAGCCAGGAAACTCAGAAGGTTCATAATGATGCAGGAGTGACCAACATAAAGTCAGAATTGTCAGCTTAACGGGCCAGTAAGCCTAGAGACAGATTTTCAGCTACAGCAGATCAATTTTCAGGGAAAATAAAACATATCCATACGTACCAAGAAATCTTTAAAGTTTCCTTGTTATTCTGTCCTTCTGAAGGAGTTCTGGTCAAACCTAGCTAAGACTGTTACAGCAGTCGGGAACTGCAAGAGCACTTGCTTAGTCTACAAATATATGGACCGGACTGCATTCCTTTTGACTGGTTGTGGTCCCTTATACTGTCACAGGACTGCTGACACAACTTCTACTTTAAGAAAAGCTTTGTGCTAGGAAGCAAAATGTACCTTAAACAGTGCTTTTAATTGTCTTAATCCTAGGAGGGGATAGAAATTGCTCAGTCTTTGAACCTTATTGCCTTAGTAGGAACAGAAGATACTAAGAATGTTACAGCAGCATTTCAGCATCTGGAAGTATCTCTGAAAATTATCATGCTTAAAATAATATGTTTAAAGCAGGCAGGGATGCTGGAGAACTTCATTATGAAAACTGGTGGCATTACATATCAAATAATTTCCTTATGCTCAAAACCCATGCTTGTCACTCTGCTCATGCCTCCCTCATCCACATTACTAACCTCAGTAGCTTAACAAATTTTGGTTACACACCAGTGCTGTTATTTCTGTCTGCATTGCTCTTCTACCTGCTTATGTTCTTGTCAACATTGTTCACAAAGGTTGTCCTACATCTATATATTATATGTATTTGCACACATAGCAGAGCTTTTCTTTTTCTCTTGACATTTCAAACCAAATTAACTTGAAAGCTTTATAAAGCTAATGCTTAGGTATCATAAGTCACAGTTCCAATTTTTTAATCCCATGCTTTCCTTGCCACAGTATGTGGTTTGCCTGCTATGAATGAGTCTAATCATAGAGCTATGTAATGTTACTACTGGGATATCCTTGCAGCAAGTGACACATTTACTAATTAAATAGCAGGGCAAAATTCCTTGACTTATTCTTTAATCAACAGAAATATTCCTCATAATAGGAGTTTTGTGGTAGCAAAGCCTGTCTAGGGACTTGAGGATTTGGCCCAAAACAAATTGAAATATTACAAAAAATAAAAATAAAAATTAAAACAAAAACTTTTTTTCCCCTTCCAACTGACAGGAAGCAAATCCAGCTTACAACACAAAACCTTTCACCCACGCTCCATCCAAAAATTCTACTCTGGACAGTTATTCAGCTGCACACAAATAACCTTGTACCATAAGACTTTTTGAATATGCTCTAAGTATTCTTCCATTCATTCTATTCATCACTAACATAACTCTATGTGATGGTGTGTTTCCGCCCCTCTAACCCCCTCATCTTCAGTCTGGATGT